AACAGAAGTTCAAGTAATTTGGTGCAACTTCGAAATAATAGTTCGTCTTAACGCGCTGGCTGCCATGTTGATCATTATTGCGAGTAACAGGATTATTCAGACTTGAAAATTAGTCACCAGACTAATCTATTACATCCTTCTAATCTCATTAGGATCTCAGTTTCCCAATTTTCATTCGATTACACGTGGAATACCTTACTCTCATAAAATTTTCAGGGTTGTTGACGTGGCAGCCGAAGTGTTCGACGACGTTTCGAATAGTTCCGCGAATCGCAAAAAATGGGACCACCGATCCAGGCAGTTCAGACGTAAGGACACGTGGCGTAGCCTCCCTTAGACCACTGATTATCACAACAATGCAAACCTGGAACGGTCGAAGGGAGCCGCAAGACCTCCGCCGGACAGCACGGAGTCGATCGATCCGATTTCCCATCGCCGATGGCCCGCATTCGGAATTCTTTTCGCGGTCGTGATGCGTTCTGGCAACGCGAGGAGCTGGTTGAGTGGTTCGCTCGCAGAGTCATCGGCGGCATTGTGTGGGAGTCGATCGATCGGTCCGGCGAATGTAATCGTGGTTGGCCGGGTGCCGGCATGCAGATGCCGGGGGTAGAACCGGGACGAAAGGGTATAAAAGTAGAATAAGAGTCAGAAGCTGGATCCTCGAGACCGGGAAATGCTGCTGCCGCTGCTCCGTGATTCGTCATCTTCCGGGCGGGAACGCCGAGGAGGTACGCAAAGCCGAACTGCAATTTAATCAGGATCCCGCGTGGATCGCGTTGCTCTCGCGGCGAGACCGTCGAAAGATGAATGCTGCGATCGCGTGCCCACACCCGGTCGAATCTAATTAGCCCGCCGGAATGGAATCTGGCTGAATTACGAGGCCGCGTAATCCGCGAACGTCGACCGACCGGGACACCGTGCCAACAACGACGCGACGCAGACATTAATCTCGTTGTTAATGAGACCGGAGATTTTATTTGGAGCCCGCCGGTTGTGCTCTCGCATTATCGTCAGCCTTCGGGTGAGTGTACCGGTTGTGGACAGTGCACCGTTTCTGGCCGTCTGGTCCATTATTCATATTTTCTTGTTTGAAGTTGGACCCAATTAATGGGAAAACGAAGAATTGAAAGTAGCAAGAAGAACGTGAAAGAACAACGCAGAAAAATAAAGGAAAAATGAATAAAGTAAAACTAGTTTTACGTTAAATATCGTTATATGTTATAACAGCAAGATTTTCAAATATCGCAAAGTAAAATATAAATAAGCGAAATTTTTTTTAAATTGTGCTGCGCTTGAATCGCTTATGTTCTTCCTTATTTCAAATTTATGATACGTGTCAATTTCTGAGGTAGCCACGAACGATGAAAATTGCGTATCTTACTATTCTTGCACCATAATGATTCTTGGATCATTTACCCTATTGCAAGTTGAATAATAACGTATGTATAATAATAAATTTAAATAATCCCTTAAAAGTTGCACGTTCTTTTATTTTCGGTTATGCAAAGCTTTAAGAATATTTGCGCCGCGATTCGCACAAACCCTTAACGTGGCCACGCCTGTCACATCAACCCTCTATCCTCTTCTTCCGTTCGTTCTCCACCGGTTTTTTTCGCCCCACCACTTCTTTCTCCTCGAATCATTTAATTCACGGGCCCAGGAATAATTGAGAGATAAGAAAGGAATGGAGGAAACGTGCCACGGCATCGGGACGAAAATGAATTGCGGCTCCCCGGGCCTCGCTAATGAATTACACCGTCACTTTATATTTTTTCCTAATTAATGGACGCCGCCTATTAAGCGCGGGAATACCGCTAAATTGCTTCGTTCCCGTTCGCTCGCCGAGACCGTGGCCGTGCTCCAATTGTCTCTCCGCGCTGGTGTATTTTTCTTCGAGAGGTTTCTTCGATGCTTGGGCGACTGATGAGGAGGTGTCGGAGGTGCGAAAAGAAAAATGATGGCGGCCCGATCTTGAGTATCAAAGCGCGTGGACTGTTTAAAGCTTGGGGATATTTGATCTGGTGGTTGCGTGATTTGTTGTTCTGTGTACATCGGCTTTTGTTCGAACGGTTGTGGTACTTCTTGGTGGAAATGCCGATAGTTAATTGGATGCAGACGATATGATTAGTGAAATTAGGTACAGGATTTGCAATTGATAGAATTGGATGCGAAAATTGTAATTAGTCTGATTAGACACAGTGATTACAATTGGTCGAACTATAATGGATACAGGTCTAGATGTAATAGTTACAGGAATTGCAATTGGTAGAATTAGGTGTGAAAATTATAATTGGCAGAATTAGGTGCGAAAATTATAACTGGTCGAATTGGACACAGGAATTACAATTGGTCGAATTATAATAGATGCAGGAATTACAGTTGGTTTAACTATAATAGTTACAGGAATTACAATTGATAGAATTAGGTGCAGGAATTACAACTAGTAGAACTAGATACAGAAATTTCAATTGGTAGAATTAGATGCAGGAATTACAACTAGTAGAATTAGATACAGAAATTTATAATTGGTCGAATTAGATACAAGAATTACAACCAGTAGAATTAGATACAGGAATTACAATTGGCAAAATTAGGTGCAGGAATTAGAACTAGTAGAATTAGACACAGAAATTGCAATTGGTAGAATTAGATACAGGAATTACAATTGGCACAATAAGGTGCAGGAATTTGAACTAGTAGAATTAGATACAGAAATTGCAATTGGTACAGTTAGAAGGAGGAATGACAACTAATAGAATTAGATGCAGAAGATTATAACTGTTATAAATAAATATCGACGGAATAAAATAATCACGATCGCACCGAGTTCTGCTACACATTCAGATCACAGCTCCGAAATGAATCAGTGATGTACTGGCCATGTAAATGCATCAAGGATCAGTTGACCTTTCAAGGTTGTTTAAGGTCATTCCGAGGTATTAGAAATGCAAAGAGGGCCACAACTCGAAGGGCGTTAGCAATGCAGAGTTCCTACGAACTTGGGAGAACATTCTCTGGGACAAGTTTGTCCCAGGTATACGAAAAGTTATCGCTACTATAGTAGTGGCAGCCTGTGGATGCTTCGGGATGTTGTTAATAATTACATGTTCCGAGGTGAGCAAGCTGGTCCCGTGCTAAGAGGTTCGACGTTTGGGTGACAGCGCATTCTTCTAATCAATTCATTGCGATTTTGCTGACATTCGGAAATTTCTCCGAGAATGGACGAGACAATAATTCCAGGGAAATTCTAAGATTTCCTTGCAGTTACGAGGCGTCGGAATTTCGAAGGATCTTTGGATCTCAAAGGGGTAGTTCTTCGAAACTTTATTTGGGATGCAAATAGCTGCAATTTCACCAAGGATATTTAAAGATACGAAAGGACACAATTCCTTCAACGATCATCAAATGGATAAAGGTAGAAATATAAAATGCTATAAAACACCAAAATACACTAGGGATAAAAAGAGTCTCAATTCCCCCAAAGATTTTGCGAGAATACAAAGGGTTGAAGTTTCAAACAGATCTTAAAAACGTCAAGAGCCGCAATTTTCGAGAATAAGAGGGGTTAGAATTCCGGAGAGCTTCGAAAACACAAAGGGCAAATATACTCGAGCTGCTGAAAATTCCAAAGGGCCATAATTCCAAGAGTAAAAGGAGATCGCAATTGGTCGACGATTCCAAAGGTCCCGGGGGACAAGTGCTTCACTATTCCAAGTGTCTTAAGAATGCAAATGCCCACAGTACGAGCAAACAGTGAACGTCGCTCGTTCTTCCAGGACTCGTAGAACTCCGGGCACGACCCTGGAGGGCTCTCCAGCCCACCAAGAGTCGCCGTTCCAACTCTTTATATGCACGCCGGCGTGCCTTCGATTCGCAGTGCCCCACGAATCGTAAGTTCCCGTTAAAGGGAACAACCGACGTGTGACGGAGAAGCAACGAAGTAACGAGATTCCCGTGTCCGATGAAGTTCGACCTCGCGAAGTTGTAACACCCTCGTAATAACTCTCTGTAACCGCGATTTACGACGATGCAGCGCGGATAAACAAAGAACGACGAATACACCGAGGGGAACACGGCAGCATCGGCCCCCGTTAACGAACGTGCTGCGAGCACGCGTTAAACCGTAACGAAAACGAATCGTAGCCCCGGCCGCGATAATGAATTCAAATCGATTCCCCGCCGGCTCTCCCTCGCTCACCCAGGGCGCGCGAGCCCTCTAAGCGTCTCCTCTTTCGAACAATCAAGAAAAGGTCGGCGGATTGATTCGCGCCGGAGAAAATCCCCGGCAAAATGGCCGCGGATCGTGATTTACGCAGCGGCGCCGCTCCGGAATAAAATCGAAAAACCGCGGCCCGGACACGGCCCGAACTTCGCTATTTATCTCCGCCGGGCTAAACAGATTTATTCGACGCGCGAGTCGGAGGGGGGAGAAAAAAAAGCGCGCCCGTGCGCCACCCAACCCGGCGTCATATTCGCCGGATAAACAAACAAGCCCGGCACCGGGCCCGCGCTGAACAAATAATTTCACGCCATAAATCTTCGGTGTCGATGCAACACGACGATTTTAATGCGATCCCGGCGCCGGGCATTTATTAATAGCGCCGGAACGTTGGGGAAAAAAAATTCGTCCGATGCAATTCGACGGTGCTCCAAACCGTTGCTCGGAAACCTGATCCTTTGTACTCGAGCCGCCAATAAGAATTATTGCGTCACGCTCCGCGTGTTAATGAAATTATATTAAATTATATTAATAAATTATTATAATTGTATTAATAAAAATGTTATCGAATTTATGTCGATAATAATAAAAATTAATATGTTATGTAAATATTATAATAAAATATTATATTGTGTTATGTATTTATGTTATTATTATTATTAAAATATGTTAATATAATAATATATATAATTTATATTAATAATATGTTATTAATAGACCACTGAAATATTATACTAATTAATAAAGTACTAATTTATCAAATACTAATTGATAGAGCGGACTAGGAAATCAAAGTTTCGTTTATTGAAAATTTTATGAAATTCAACCTTTTCTGCCATTTTATAAAATCATACTTGTACAAGATCTCTCTAAAAAAACAACATTTAACACGTTCTGTGCCATATGGGTCCCAGATGGGCGACGCTAATTTTTAACTAGGTTTCGAAATTCGTGTTTATTTGTAACATTTCCTCCGGTAAATATTGACTTTCTAATTTCGATCTCATTGATGAAATGACACCGAATATTGTAGGAATTTTTGGGATTGATATCCGACACGTGACTGAAACGACTGTGAATCGAGGCCTAAAATGCAGGAAAAAAAAGAAACAATTCCGTGAAACATCGAAACACAGTAACTGAATTTTATTAAAAGGAGAGCGCTAACACCGTGTACGTCCTATCAGGCACTGGGAAAACATCGATTTTCTCTCGACTCACGCATCGTCCGAAACGATCTCGAAACGCGTCAGCCAGACGTGAAAAGGAACTACAGACAACAACAAAATTAAGAAGTCTCTGCTCGCTGCTCCGATAAAGGAGCAACCATCGAACGGGGGCACTTCACGTTTCGTCCTTGGTGGTGAACGCTGGATTCTCTCTGGCGTCGCAGGACAATTTCGGGCAGTCCTTCCGCAGCTCGTCCTGGCTGGCAGAGCTCTTCGAGATTCGATCCTTGCTCCTGTTCGACTCGCTGCTGATTACTTCCGTGAGCTCGACCGCGGTCGCGAATCTCGACGCCTGGAAGCAGAGTTACCGTGGTTTAGAGGGCCGCTGGTTTTCCGGGGGTTGCGTCACGCGGCTGCCACGACGCGTGGTTAGTTAACTGTTTGCTTTGGTTTCCTCTGTCCGGATTGCGTCGGATTGCCGAGTACGTTCGTTGTCGCGAGGAAATCGAATCGAGCCGGCCAATTGTCGTCGGCGCGGGGGCGGGACCGACGCGACGCGCGCTTGTAAACGGTAACCTCGGCCGGATTGATAGGGCAAAGGGCTGTCTGTCGCAACGCTCGCCGAGCTGCGAGCCACTCTGTCTTCGAATTTGCTATTCAGATTCCATGTTTGTCGATCACCTTCCCGGTAATTAACCCCTTCAGCCGAAACCTCTCTCAGACACCCAGAAATTCGCGTGGCGCGCTCGTTCTTTCGGATTTCGCGGATTCACTTCGCTTCGAATCGCCTCGAAATGGAATAATTTTAGTTACGTCAAGTATGATGGGTATTAAACAATTTTAAGCGGTACGAATCATCGAATATGTACTTCACAGCGATACGAATATTTTGCCGCTAATTTATACGGAACATCGTTTGAATATATCTGTCACTCCTGTTTTCCATTGGATTTTTTACGATTTTATTGCTATATGTAGAGAAAAAATTGAGTAAGCTTTTTTAAAGCATATGTTGATTTTTAATAGAATTATGACCAACATGTGTTTTAAATAATCATCATATGTTCTAAAACAAATTATTACTCGCTCCGGCAATCTAGTGTTAAAACGTTACTTCTTTTGATTTTTATTCTGTATTTCATTCGCTGCAATTTAGTAGAACATTGTTGTGCCAAAATGTACGTATTTTAATGTGTACTAATACATATTTTGTTG